GTTAACTTGAGCAGCTCTGATAAAGTGCAGGTCACAGTCCCAAACAGAGAAAGGCTGCACCTCAGTTTAACGATACATTTTTATATTGAAACTCTAGCCACGCCACACGTAGCTGATCGTAACATTGAAGAGAAAAAAGAGTTACAACACACCATCTTGTCCAGTTGCAGAGGAGTAAACTGACAGGTTTTAATGTTGCAGACCACAGTTTTTTTCAAGTAGTCGCAAGTTTAAACTTGTATTGTTGTGAACCTTTGGTGTAAACTCGCCTTAAAACTTTCACCTCAACAAACGCCCCCCAACGGCCCCTCAATGCCCCCCTTTCCAAAATATTGCTTCAAATTATGATTCCTAAATATTAAATGCTGTGTCTATCCAGTGTGTGGAGAGATAGATGAGGTCATTGCTGCAAGGTTCCATGCATCATCTTTCAGCGGGAGAATGGTTGATTTGTACCCGTTTACTGTGTTAATTTATGTGTTTCTACAATGATCTGTGGGGGGTCTTGTGGGTAAAGTATAATATCAGCATAAGCTGATTTTATGTAAAACTTGTGTTAATTCCTTTGATATTATAAATTGGCAGATTGCTGCAGCAAATGGTTCAATAAAAATGACAGAGAGAGAGAGAGAGAGAGAGAGAGAGAGAGAGAGAGAGAGAGAGAGAGAGAGAGAGAGAGAGAGAGAGAGAGAGAGAGAGAGAGACAGAGGCCTCAACATTACATACACAGGGAACTTCAACATTCCAATTGAAATCTGGCTTAAAATTTTCCAATTTGTAATAGAACCAATAATTCTATATGGTAGCGGGGCCAAAACTTAATGAATTTGACAAATGGGACAAAACAATCATTAGAATATTTCCATACTGAGTTATGTAGGTCCATCCTGCAGGTGCAGAGAAAAACACCAAATAACCTGTGCAGAGCAGAGCTCGGCCAATACCCCCTCTTACTAAAAATACAGAAAAGATCACTTAAATTTTACAGTCACTTAAAATCAGTTAACCCTGAGACATATCATCACAAAGCCCTAACATACCAGGAGCTGAAACCAGAGAAGAGTCCCCTCAGCCAGCTGTTCCTGAGGCTCTCTGCAGTAACAAGTCCCCAACAGCCTCAGAACAGCAACACCAACTCAAGCAGACCAAACCAAATTATCAGCAAGCAGAAAGAAAAATATATTGAATACTGGAAAGAAACAACCAAAACACAAAGTAAATTCCAATGTTATCTGACCCTAAAGATAATTCACACTGGCACATTACCTGAGTACAATAAAATGTCCTAAACTAAGAAAAATGTTCAACATACAGACTGAGTGGACACAGCCTGGCCATAGAAAAGGGTCGCCACAGACAGAGCTGGCTACCACAAGTGGAGAGACTCTGCTCCCAGAGTGACAGGGGACAGGTAGAGACAGAGCTGCACTTTCTAACCTCATGCCCTAAATATATAACACTAAGACAAAAAACACTTTGTAAACATTTCCCAAATATACCCTGAATTCGACACACAGAAACTCCCCTATTTACTGGGAGAAATGCCCAAATGTGAAATAATTGCTGCAAAATATGTCTCCTCATGCCATGAAGTGAGGACAACCAGTGGAACCTCAGATTGATAAATAATTGTACAGATTTTCAAATTATTATTATTTTGATCGTTTGATATTTTAGTAATTGTTTTATTTTTACATTTGATAAAGATTTATTTATTTATATATTTATTTATTATTTTAAATTTTTATTAATACACACACACACATATATATGGTTGATTGTTCTTGTGTAGTTTGTATATTGCTTTGGCAATACTGTTACATGTTACATTCGGACGTCCTTGTGTGGTTCCGTGTTGAAGAGTAAAGGCCTTTGAAATAATGCCATTTGTGGTCATACAGTAGGCACAGTTTACAAAGTTTGAATCCAATGTATGAACAACTCTCCAAAGCCAAATTTGAGAAGGATGTTGAATAAGAATTCCCAATTTACTTTACTTTATTTCTACATCCAGTGATACTATTGTTTTATTTTGTTTTTGTTGGGATAGATTGATAATGTTGAATAGTGTTGAATGTTAGTATTGTCTTTGGCAATTACTATTAGTGAGTACTTTAGTGATCATTTTAGATCAGTATTAATTAGGGACAGGACGGTAATTCGAGGCGTGGGTTGGGTCTTTGTTAGGTTTTAATAAGACTGAAATTGCTGCTGTGTTCATGTGCTGAAGGATTGTGGATGTATTTTTTTCTTTTAGAGAATAGTGGTGATATTATGTGCTGGAAATGTTTGTAGTATTCAGCAGGAAATTGGTCATGTCCAGCTGATTTATTATTTGGCATTGACAGCTTTGCTAAGTTATTGGGGATTGAGTGGTGCTTTGTGTGTGGCTGCTTGTTCTTGAGAGAGTAGGGGTAAATTCAGGTTATTCAGAAAAGATTCCATTTCTGAGAGTTTTAAGCTGATGATACACGGGGCAACTTTTTGAGCAATGTTGCTGGGCAATGTTGCTAGTGGCAAGTCCGACCATGTTTTGAACGGATAGTGGTGGTGCGGGGCAGGTGGCGGAATGGTGGGGGAAGGGGAATACGGTAGTAATCTTTACTCATTACCACTGACGGCAACGTTGCCCAGCACCATTGCTCTAAAAGTTGCTCTGTGTATCATCAGCTTTAGTTTCTTGCTTGATAAGTATAGATTGCTGTGGAAGGTTTTGTTTATTTCAGTCTTGTATGATTATACCTATAGTGTTAATTATTGATGGAATAATATAATTTTCTTTTTTGCACTGAAGTTGATTAGCCAAATATTTCCCTTTTTTTTTTTTGCCATTTTCAAATTTATCATACTTAAGTTGATGTACTAAAAATCATATGATGTGTTATGTTTTCAAGCTGAATTTTAGTATTGTGGATTTGTCTTCTGTTTTTTCATTGTGGTTAGTGGAAAGGGTGTCTCTTAAATGTAAGCTTATTTATTCTAAATTATTTTCCAGTTATTTTTCTTGTCTTTTTTTGTTTGATAAATATGATCATATGATATGAAACTAGCGACTGAGACCATAAACTCATTAGAAAAATGTTTACTGAGGTGAAAAATATGGTTATTTTGACTACAGCAGCTCCAACCAGGAGACATGACACTTTTTTGTCAGCAGGATATGACAAAATATGTAATATATATATATTTACTCATCTGGCAGACTCTTATCTAATTTGTTGCTGTGTCTAGGTTATGTTGACGAAGGAGAATGTGAACTGCATTGCTGTGGAGTGGAAGAAAGGTGTGAGGACTCAGTATGCCCAGGCTGCCAGTAACGCCAGGGTGGTGTCTGCTCAGGTGGCATCTATGATCACATTCCTCATGGTAAATGGGTCAAAGACACAAGGTTTTCAAAGTAGCAAAAAAATAAAAAGCAATTACAAATCCCCAAAAAGCCTTTATGTTCTTTGGAGTTTCACCTATGCCCTTATATTAGTTATATTCAAGAATGAAACTAAAAGTAAAATTTTTATTGTGATTGATGTACCCTGCAAATGTCATTCAGTATAATGCTAAATGTATTTGAAAAAAAATAATCATGAGTATCATCATCATGAGTACAACTCAATTTTTTTTGTCTTACACTGAAAGAAATGCAAAAATCAATGAAAAGTATTTTTCACTCCATTCTTTGAGAGTTGCTTTCATCTCTCTGAGTCAATAAAACAAAGTTATTGTATTTTAATATAAAATACTAGTGTTATACTATGACAATATTTTGTTACCCTGAATGACACGTAGCTACTTCAAATGTGAAGTAGCTATTAATATAATTCATAATCCAATTTAATAATAATCAGATTTAAGTTAATTCATCCTTCGCACTGCTCCGTTGAATATAGTTTAATTCTGTTGACCAATTTTATAATTGCTTCAGTATTAATGCTTATTGTCTGGCATGTAGCAGAGGGGAGTTGAAAACTCAATTTCAGTATATAACCTTAAAATAATAAAGTTATATTGTGACAAAATAAATCTACCTACCTAATGTAATATTAACTAATCGATTAGTTATACCTTAACTGCAGTGCAATAAACCTTAACAGTGTAATAGTGCAACTTATTGTTAAGTGTTAATGTACTTTTTTGGTGCTGACCGAAGCATAAAACTATGAACACAACATTTGCTTTTCTTCTGGCTAGTCTTTATTCCCTAGCAACTGGATCTGCGTTGTCTTTTTTCTGTCAGTGTAGCCTTCTTTTATTTCCTTGGCCACCTATATAAAGTATTGACCTTAATATTATAGGTATCTTCTAGAAGATTACTTTTCATATTTGATATAGCTTTTTATAAAATAACATTAAAAGTATGTTTTCTATGTTGTACTGAAGGACAAGCATTTTTGTTACAAAAGTTACATCATATATGGGAGATTTCCTCACTTCAGCCCATAGATAGAGGGACTTCACTGGATCTTCTTTTTGATGACACACACTGTCACATCTAACACAATTATGCCATGGGTGTTCATTTATATTTTTTGGATGAATATCTACACTTTAAAAACACTGTTGCCGTTAGAATTTTAATCGGGACAGTTACACTGAAGGACATTTTAGAGCTCAATAACTCCCTTAATTTTATATTTTGCAACACAAATATTTCTGGGTCGAAAGAAGGGTAAGTTTTGGGGTAAGAGTTGAGTGAGGTAATATTATATTAATCTTTTTATGTTAAATTAATGGCCTTCAGACATCAAATGTGCACGTCTCGTCTTAGTAGGTGTAGGTCACAACTATATTTACATTTACTCTTTTGGCAGACGCTTTTCTCCAAAGCAACTTACATTTGAGGACCAACATGCCAGCATCAATAAAGCATCAATACAGGAAGATATCTACATGTGGCAGTATATACTAGTAGGAGCAGCAGGGTTTTCAGGATGAGTGAGTAGCAGGAGTGAGAGCCCAAACTAGACACTAGAGCTGAGATTCAGTTCAGGGATTTAATAACTTACTGCAACACAGGGCGAACACAGAATGGTGCAGAGCAAGTCCATAACACGCAGGTAATCCAAAATCCCACAGATACAGGTTACTCACAATCTGCAAAAACATGAAACACACTACAATGACCGGGGAATGAAGAGAAACACCAAACATTTATACACAGGGACTAACGTGCAGGGCGGGAGCAACACAGGTGACCGGGATCAGGATTTACGAGACAGGCAGGCAGAGAGACAGCAGGGGAAAACAGAGAGACTGGCAGGCATGCAGATTACTGGGGGGGAACAGACACAACACAAGTTACTGAACACTAAACATATCAGAGAAGTAAATGACAAACTAATACAGACACAAGCAGACAGATCACCAATAACTACAACCAACAGGGAAAACAGACTGAAGCTGGGATTAAACAGATCTCAGAGCAGACATGGGCAAAACAACACAGAAGTACACAGACCAGAAGTAAACACGACATGAACTAAGGCACAGGACTAGGAACTAAGATAAGAGACAAAACAGATACTAAGTAAACTTAAACATGCGGATGAATAAAATAAAAAACAAGGCTACACAGAGACTAAAGCAGAATGATAAAAATCTGATTAACAAAGAAACTGTCAGAGAACATAAATGGACACCTAGCAAACAGTCAGAACCCAAGCATGATGGTACAGAAACTAATACATGAGACAGGAACAGAACTGAACAAGAACTAAGGCAGACACCGAGATATCAACAGGACAGATCAGACCAGAACCACCACACAGAACAAGCAGACGACACACACAAACTCAACAACGGACTAAGATAGCTGAACAAGACAGATTAACATGGAATGATAATAACCAAATGGATAACAAATCAGGCAGCGCTCAAAATAAACAGACTGGACCAAAGACAACAGATAGGACTGAACCCCAAAACACAACAGACTAAATAACAGACACTGAACTGATCAAATAACTCAGAGTGCTTAACATAGCCGACAGGCAGAATGTGACAATTGAAAAAATTGAATGGGCAATTTGGGAAATGTCTTTGTTGCTGTCTGATTTCTTGTACAGTATTTTTATGAACTTTTGATAGAGCTAGGCTAGCAGTTCACCCTGCTTCAAGTATTTGTGCTGAGATATGTGACACATCTCTGTATTATGCACAGAAAGATAAAACTGATAACTACAATTTATTCTTATCTAATACAAGAGCATACAAATGTATTTCCATAAATGTTGGTTAAGTAGAATTGTACTTCCTTAAAGTTGGAGACAGATTTAAAAAAGGATGGTCAAAACTGATGGAGCACAGAATGAAATACACACATGCCCATATACAGAATTCATGTTTAATTGTAAAATTACTGCTTCCAAACAGCTGAGTATCAGTGTAATCACAGAAGCTCAAAATAGACCCAACAGGGTGGAAAGGCCAAAGACAAACACAACTGGAAAGCGAGAGGATATTCTCACACCCAGTGGACATACGGTATGTTGTATGTACGATAGTGTGGTAGACACAGAATCTTTGAATGGAACATGTTGCATGTTGCAGGGTAACTACAAGCAGACAGCTGATAAGTTCCATATTATCGGACACAGCATCGGAGCTCACGCTGCAGGAGACGTTGGAAGCAGGATCACTGGCATCACACGTATCACAGGTAAACCTGCCGCAGTACTCGCAGTTTATAATGGTCACTTACTGTTCTATTTTGGACAACTCATCTATACATGCTAACATCTGTACCAATCTTTACATGCTTGATAACAGTCCTGCCCTGAACACATCTACATACCAATATTCAGTTATAGTCACAGTGCGACTTACTGGAAACAGGAAGTAATCTCCGAATGACAATCATTATTTGATTTACCTCCAATTTTCTCAGTGTAGTCCACTCTTGATGTACAAGGTGACTTGCTGGGGGGGACTTTAATATACATATGGACAATCCACAAGGGAATTTACATCTTGCCTGGACAGTTTTGGATTGGAGCAACATATTCACTTTCCCACTTACTCCAAAGGTCATGTTTTGGACTTGGTTTGCTGCTCTGGTGTCACTCCTCATGGTTGCACTGCGGCCTCCCCATTTCTGATCACATTTCTTTCAATGTCTATGAAGATTCTCAGTCATCCAGGTCATAGTTATCCAACGAAGGTTAAAATCAAGGGCAACTGGACTTGGTTGAAGATACTGGAAGACGTTTCGTCCCTCATCCAAAGGACTTCTTCAGTTCTGACTGACTGGCAGGGAAACTCAGCTATTTAACCTCAGTGGGGTCGTTGGCCCGGGTCATCGATACTGCTGGTTCGTTAGTGTTCCTTGTTTCTGTGACGACAGTCGTTACAGTCGTTAAGACTACCTGTGACCAAGACTGAACGACCATCGTTGGTATCTTCACCTGAGGCCAATAGGTTACGTTTGTTTGGACGAAACGTCTTCCAGTATCTTCAACCAAGTCCAGTTGCCCTTGATTTTAACCTTCGTTGGATTTCTTTCAATGTCAACTTAACACTGTCCAAAATAAAACTGCCACTTTGTCAGAAATATTAAGGACATTAATTTAACACTCTCTCTAGTGAAATTGACTGCCTCCCCAGTATAAACTGTTTTTCCAACCCCGATGATCTGGTTTTTCATTACAACAATGGCTTTCAAAACATTTTAAATTCTCTGGCTCCTTTAAAAAACCGGACTGTTTCCTTCACCCATTCTGCCCCATGGTTTACATCAGAACTACGCCAGCTCAAGGTAAAAGGTCGTCGCCTGGAACGCCTTTATAAGAAAACTTTCGTAAATTTAACATCCATTTCCACTGCTATACGGATGACACCCAGCTCTACCTGTCTGCCAAACCTACCACATCCCTCCCACCCACCTCCCTCTCTGATTGCCGGAAATCAAATCCTGGTTCTCTTGCAACTTCCTCAAACTGAACAGTCTGTCTGGGGATGCTGCATGCCCAGGCAGCTCTCGGGCCTGGCGGTCGCTGAGGCGGCGCGGCAGCTTCGGTCATGGGGCTCCCAGCGCGACATCTCCGAGGGCATCGGGACTGCCGAGGCTTTTTCCCGTTCCTCGTCTGCTGGCTCCGACTCCCCTCTTCCCCGTTCGGGAGCCCGCTTTACGGCTTCTCTCGCTCGAGGTGTGAGCCTGGAGAGGCTGCGGCTGTGCGGTTCTGAGGAGCTGTATGTGCTCAGCATTATGGAGAAGGAAGACTTCCGGGAGCCGGATCAACGTCATCAGTCAGCGCCCAGCTATGACGAGCTCTTGGAGGTGGTGACATGGGCAGTGAGCAAGCTCCAACTGATTGGCCGCAGGCTGTGCCAGACGCACAGGCTGCCAGTAAGCCGGATGAGCGCTTCCTTCGGCGCCGCACGCCACCTCCACACTGGTCTCTGCGCCGGTCTCTGCCTTATTTCCCAGATTTGCACGACGAGTTGTGCAAATCCTGGGGGAAGCCTTTCTCAGCACGTCTGACTACTCCCCCGCTCCGTGTTTACAGCGACATTACGGGGGTTAAGGGTTTCGGCTATGGGACAATGCCCCGGTTTGAGGATGCTTTGGCCAGCTATCTCTCGCCTGGTCTTGTGTTGTCCCTTAAAGAGCCGGCGCTGCCTACCAAGCCATGTCGCGTGACATCTGCTCTGGTAGGCAAGGCGTACATGGCGGCGGGCCGGGCTGGTGCGAGCCTGCACACAATTGTGGTTTTGCAGGCATACCAGGCCGACCTGCTGAAGGACATGGACTCGGGAGGGGGGCCCTCTGAGGACATCGCTGAGCTCCGCAGAGCCACGGATTTGTCACTCCAAGTCACAAAGGAGACGGCCCGCGCCATTGGCCGCTCCATGTCGGCGCTGGTGGCCACGGAGCGACACCTGTGGCTCAACCTGTCGGGCATCCAGGAGAGGGAGAAGACCTTCTGCTCGACGCGACCTCTGGCCTGTTTGGCGAGGCAGTGGACGCTGTCGTCAGCAGGTTTCAGCATGCCAGGACGCAAGGGGAGGCCAGTAGTATCTCCCATGTCGGTCTGGGTCCAGGATGGTGACGGCTGCAGAGAGACGGTCCCAGCCGAAAAAGAGCGTGCTGACGCCCGCCCAACGGACTACGTTCCTAGGGGTGGTGTGGGACTCAACAACGATGCGGGCCCACCTGTCGCCTGCATGCGTCCATTTTGTCCTCAGTGACCAGAGTGAAGCTAGGCCGCACCATCACTGTGAAACACTTTCAGAGGTTGTTGGGTCTCATGGCGGCAGCGTCCAGCGTAATCCCATCTGACCTGCGGCACATGAGAGCCCTGCAGTGGTGGTTAAAATCTAAGGGATTCTCCCAGAGGGGGAAATCTGTTCAGTCTGATATGGGTTACGAGCAGGTGCCTTCGTTCCCTGTCAGTATGGAGGAAACCTTGATTCCTTGTCCCAGGGTCCCGTGTTGGGAGCGTCATGTCGCCGAACAATTATTTTGACAGATGCCTCACTCGCGGGGTGGGGCGCAGTTATGGACGGCCGCTTTGCGAGAAGCTCCTGGCAGGAGCATCATTTCTCTTGGCACATAAATTGCCTGGAAATGTTGGCAGTTTTCAAAGCTCTGAGGAGTTTTCTGCCCGCTCTCCGCGGTCGCCACGTCCTTGTCAGGACCGACAACACGGCAGTGGTGGCCTATTTGAATCACCAGGGGGGTCTGCGCTCGCGCCCATTATGCAAGCTGGCACATCAGATCCTCCTGTGGTCCCAGCAGAGACTGCTGTCTCTCAGAGCGACGTATATCCCGGGGACCCAGAATCAGGGAGCAGACCTGCTGTCGACACAGGGGCTGAGGCAGGGACCTGCTGTCTCAGGCGCAGGGCCACCCTTGCCCCGCCCTGTGGAGACTGTGGGTCTTGCCCCTGAGGGGGCTCAGTTCCTTGAGGCGGGCCTGACGGCGGGAACAGTCGAGACGCTGCTCAGCTCCAGAGCCCCGTCCACGAGAAGGACGTACGACCTGAAGTGGAATGTGTTTGCCACCCGGTGTAGAGAACAGGTGGTGGACGCAGTTACCTGCCCGGTGACTATGGTACTGGAGTTCCTCCAGGACCGTTTCTCTGCTGGCCTTTCCC